GGCTAAGTAGGTATATTTAAAAAGACGAGTCCTGGAGTGGAGGCCGCGTCAGCTCAGCGTAGGAGGCCCTCCGGCAAGATGTATCTGGAACTTTAACGCAAATGGCTGGTATAGAACAGGAAGAGAATAGCCGGAGATCGGGCTAATAGCATGCATTAGAAAAAGCTTCTAGCTTCATTCCTCATGTCCATGACTGTAAAAAAAGAAGTCCAAAAATTTAAAAATCTAACCTATTTATTACATAGGATGTAGCTAAAAATAGGAACAGATACCGTATTTGAGCGTGACTTTGTAAAACTTCTACACGATTTAGGTGCAAGAATGCAAGTCAAGGTGAGCTTGCGCAAGTTACAAGAACGCACGGTTATGCAGATCTGATGTTACTAATATTATGGTAGCTACCCTATGCTAATTATTAGATAACTTGTGTGTTACTCACTGTTAAAATAATTTGAAGAATTATCTGCATCATTTTCAAATCCGCGATTGAACTGTGATCAGATATGGGCAAATGGAATTACTGCTAGAATTAGGTACTGGATGAGAAGATTAACACGGAATCTAACTAAACGGTACAGAAGCTTCTCAGCCGTGGGCAGTGGTTTTGTAACTAATTATGATTGACCTAAGGGCTGCATTTTAATAAAGGCACCGTTTAAAACTTAAGGCATGTAGCAAAAATACCCACCAAACGTGAAGTCCGCTGTGCTTCAGCAACCTGCAATCTGCATCACGAATTACGGTAGATGACGTAGCAGCTGCTAAACATGTAGTTATTGCATGTAAGTAGGTTCATGCATTCGTAACTACTATTACTTCGACCTACGCACACTTGACAGGAGGAGGTCAACGAAATCCCTGAATATACGGTGACATCACTTGGTTTAGGTAGGTTTTTTTAAATTAATTTGAGAGAATTTATGACTTATGCGAGTAAGTTGTAATTCTAAAAAATAATATTATAGCAGTAATCAAGTGAAATTTATATTACTGAGATCAATTCCTCTATATTATTGAACATCCCATAAACAGATGGAAGTAGTTATTTAATGTTAATTTAGAATCATTCGATTTAATAATGCCGCTGCACCCGCATTGATTGTTTCCATGAGAACGCTCGAGCCATGGGAACGGAGCAGAGTACCCAGGCATTCAAGTCGACGTTACCAACTCTGTATAAACAATTGCACTAGTACAATTGTTACTTGCTTCGAGCAGCCCTCTTTTTAATTGTAACGATTCTGTGTTGTGAACCACCGCCACTTTTAGCATGAGACTTACATCGGAAAATAATTATGGCGAATTGTTTCCTTTTCAAATGGCTACTTCAAAAGTAAATGATTGTTTTGGTAACATTTTTACAATTATATTGCCCGGCATTAAATAGAACGGACGTGCAGCGTATGTTGGGGTATTTATAGCCGCCCCACACGCAGTAGTAGCGCAGGAGGTGCGCGGGCGACGCTCGCCTCTCGGCGCTTCTATTCCAAGCGAGACCTTGCATACCCAACGGCTTCACCAGAATCAGTATACATTTCCAGGCGCGGATCCACCGTTGTGGGCACTGTGGGCATGCCCACAACCCTAATTTGCTTGTTTTAATTATGATCTATTGATAAGATCGATAGGCATGTATGTATGTCCGGGCATGTAGTGATCCAACTCTCACTTTGCTCATTTTTGGTGGCTGTGCCCACAACCTTTTTTGAGGGCTGGATCCGCTCCTGTACATTTCAGTAAGGAGGTTAAAGATCTCTTACCTTAATTCTGTTTAATATTGACAAGTTTTTAATCAAAACGTGTAATTCATGTAGTACAGCACCGTTGTGCAGTATTTCTGCTGCAGATCGTAAAATACTGACAAATAAACTGGGTCACTGAGCGACCTACCCTTGACATCCAAAAATTGGCAAGTGTTGCTATGAAACTAGCTGAAACTAGCTAGACTAATCGATAGCATAGGGTATCTGTAAAAACGTAGTGCTTGATAGCGAGACGAAGCTGATTATTGAAATTCAATATCTTCTAGAAATATTATTTATTAAACACGCCGATGATTACTTTGAGGCGCTAAAAGTGTTAAGATTTCTTTATCAAAATAAAGTAAAATTTGAAATTCGTGACAAGTAGGTACTATAACACAGGTCAAGTCAAGCACAAAAATGGTCAAATCGCCTACACAGACAGCTCTACCGCTAGCGAAACGCTACAATTGAAGATNTTGAAAATTTGTGGCAACCGCCCTTTAAAATATTGGTGTGGTCATTGAATTGAAAGGACGAAAGAACTTCGGCATAGAAATGTGAGGGTACAATGCGACGTGATTCCATCTGAATGAAGAAACAAGTAGTGTGCTCAAATGCGCTCTATTGTTATGTTTACTAGTTGTCTTTTCGACTGACGCAGACGACGGCCAAAACAAACCCGTAGGTAAGAAGGTACCTATATCAAATTTTATACCTGCCGCTATTGTTGTGCCTGAGACGTTTTTACCACTCCCTATCAATTCCCCTTCTTTCTTCTTACGCAAAACTGAATAAGGTAAAGGATACAGTGTAAGTGACTTAAGATCAAAATCTCATGATTTTGTACTAGTCGAGTGTATAATAGATATAGTGTAAGTTTATCCAGTGAAATTTGGGTAAGTTTTATAATCAGGTGTGTGCCGTACTCCGAGGGTTGAACTAACCCTTTGTTTGTTAGACTCCTAATCAACGGGGGTTAGCATTTCGCATGCCTCTGTTGAAAACATTTATGTACCTATAAAATGGCAAAGTAAGTGTGTGCTAGTTTGAAATATGAAATACATATTAATAATTCTATAATGCCACTTAAGGTGACAATTTTGAGGAGTGATTTCTCGTTTCAAACCTGATAAGAAGGAATACCTAGGTAGGTACTAACGAATGAATCAACACAAGAAAATTTAAACACAATACCTACATAACCAGGGTATCAACAATTACCTTGCCTTGATGTTCACGAGGTAACAGAAAAAAAACTTATTATTTCACGCAGGTGCATAATACTTATCCTTCCATGGCGTTGCATTCGGAGCTATTATAATAATCTCTCGAACTATCCTCAGACACGAACTGGGAGCAAGGAGCGAGTCATTAAATGGTAATAAAACTAGAGTCAACGGCACTACGCATTTTCTCGAGGCATCAATTAGGTGCATACGCGTTGTATGATGACGAACTACCTACACGCCGCAGCGTGCCGCAGCTGCACCGACCACTTTTTACTCACTACCTAGGTAATAACAAGGTGAACGGGAATCTATTTTATTTTGAATTATTGTGCAGCTTTTTTGCTTTTATATTCAATCGAAGATACGTTAGAAGCATCTTAGACCAATGCTACAGACTAAACGTTAAATATGGATTTTCTATACAATCGTGTAAACATAGCATTGCAACAATACCCGATCGTCAATGTCCGGACTTGGCTACATTTGGGCCAGTAACGGCACCTAAACAGTAGTAGCACACTAAACTACCGAGCAATCGAACCATGGCCTTAAACTCGACTACGTGCCAGTTAACCACAGACTGCACAACCCCAACGAACAAAATATGTGCCATTGTATGAAAGCCAATAAAGTAATTTGGTTGTTCGCGTTAGCACTTTCTTAGCTACTGTAAATCTCACGAGAGCAATACAATTTACCGCCATAAACAGCTATGTTTGTGGCCAAAATAACGTTAGGGCAGAGATTGCGAGCAGGCAAATTCATTATTATAGCAGGTCGGAGGTCGCACATTGAACCGTGGCCTGCCTGTGGCCTACATGTTGCAATAGTATTATTGTTGTAATAAATAATGAAACTTTTCCTCATTATTAAATGAATTTTGCGAACCTAATAACAGTCGAGCGGCTTAATTATTGTCATTACATTACCCTCTATAACTGATTGTAAGATCCCATTGCGTAAAATATTACGTCAATTAAGTTGCTAGAAGCTCGGATATTTAAAAATACTAAGACTTCTTCCATCGAAACTACTTAATATAAAAAACTTGACGTGCGTGGGTCAGAGAAATCGAGTTCTGCATGAGAAGATTATCGCAATAAAGTACTAGATGGGTGTTGTAGAAACCGAGGATGGTTGCGCCGCACGTCATGGTCCACCAGCCGCTACCGCTGCTAGCACGCGCAGTCGTTACCCGCGCCCGCTCCAAGGAGACAATCCCGTTACAGAGCAAACATTTATTTTAGCTACGTTATGAAAACATTTGTCGTAAGATATTTCAAAAGATAAAGACAACTTGTGTTGCTTTTATGCTCCGTTTTTTAAACGATTCAACCATTATTATTCTATAATTCAACTACCTTATGATATTAAAACTGGCTGATTAACAAACTTTCTATCTGAACTGAAACTTAATTAAAATGTATGTTATAATTCAGTACCTATTTATATGTAGGCCTAGGTAATCCCAATTTAACTAATATTGTCATAGAGGATAATGTGATTTGCTTAAAATATACCAGTTGACAAACCAAATACCTTTGAATAGAATTACTGAATGCTCCTTACAATGATAAAATCTTAACATTAACTACTTTAGTGCAAAACCTTGCATTTATAAAAAATCAATCGCAAACCAGCTTGTGAAGCAAATTTTCAAATGAAGGACAAAATAATAACTGCTTAAAACACAACAAAGGAAACTAGAATGTCATAAAGCCATGTAAATGGTCTATTGTATTTCTTTCATTATCTAATGATGATATTATTATATTTACATTTAATTACTTAGTGATTCAAAACTTTTTATGACTAATTAAAATCATTGTAAAATGCAGAATAACAATAAAATTCATTAGGTATTTACTGCCTATTTGCAAATGCTGAAATATAATAACTCAAACTATGGTACACAAAATACAAAGTTAATAATAAACAGATTTTGGTTACCTTGGTGTCCAGGAATAAAACTTCACTTTGTAATCTCCCACTTAAAACTTTTATTATAGATACTTTGTTATATGTATTATCACAAATCCTGGTAGACTTTTAAAACACAATCACGCAACTGATAAAACTTAATGTATTTCCTTGATTACTGATTTTTCTCATATAAACATAATTTACACAACAAAACACAATCTGCGACATGACTTAGGTGTAACTCTTACTCATCGCACTTCACTCTACACAAATAGTTTATTGCATATTTGGATGGCTTTTAATTCTCTAAACCGTCCATGTCCTTCCACATCGATAATCTCATGAAATTATATACAAAGTTGACTAATATTAATTTACAATACATGTTTTTTTTTGTTTGTTTATCTGACACATCTTTAGCATGCTTCCCAGTTGACAATGTACAAAACCAAGCTAACAATGATTTTCTGTTCTTTACGCATGCTCCCATTCGGGATGTTTGTTCAATTCACATGATAATGGTTACTGCGGGAGTATCTACCAGTACTAAAGTATGAAAATATAAGATAAAGCACCTCGATTGGACAATGGTATGTATCAAAGATATTAACAACGTGATATGACGCGCATCGCGACCGCCGAGGGTCCAGCGGTCGGGGCCGGCGCGCCGCCGCTCGCCAGGGAGCCGGGGCCGACGGGCCGTCGGGCCGAGACGGGCACGCTCCCGCCTCACCCTTGCAGTCTTACGAGAAATAAATGCCACATTACACTCTAAATATTAAAGCACTGTACAACAACAATAAGTTTTCTTTTCCTTTTCAGGACTAACGTTCATTTCGCGAACTATTTCGGCGAACATTTCGTTGACGTTGGTGCGGCTCTTGGCGGACGCCTCGACGAAGGGGCAGCCCCACATCTGCGCGAGCGCCGCGCCCTCGGTCTGCGACACCTCGCGCTGGTGCTCCAGGTCCGCTTTGTTCCCCACCAGCAGGATGGGCACGCGCTCCGAACCTTTCACGCGCGTTATCAATTCCTTCATTGGCTTGATGTCTTGAAACGTTTGGTGATTAGTTAGTGAATAAACTACGACGAATCCTTGGCCATTTTTTATGTATAGGTCTCTCATCGAGGCGAACTGCTCTGTGCCAGCAGTATCCAGTATTTCTAGAACACATGGCGAATTGTCTACCTCAATTTCTTTCCTATAGAAGTCCTCTATTGTGGGATCATATTTTTCCATGAAACATCCGGACACAAACTGCACAGTCAACGCACTCTTCCCGACCCCACCCGAGCCCAGCACGACCACTTTGAATTCGCGCATTATTGTGTTCTGTTTTCACACTTGCTAGTCTTCCACGCAACGTTTTAGAAACGTATTCTCACTGTATGCTATAAAAATGTCATTGCTATGTTGGTTTATGACTCACTCGGATGTGATCACTGCGGCACGTTCACATAAAGAAATCTAATTGATAAACAGCGACGCCATTTTAGTTCAATGAATGGCAAAACAACTCCGATAGCATCGCGGTGCTAGTCACTTCAAAGTACAAACGCGGAAGTGAACATCTATTCAACTGAGGAGACTGACTGACTTGCTCCCTGCCGAAAGTAGTCGACATCAGCAGCAGGTTGGTCAATGCACTTTATTGCAATGGCCTGATTGGTGAATGGAGAATATTACCAGCCGGATTTCTGTGTTGCCATAATTATCATCAAATTACCAAATATTCAATCGAATAATAGTTTTTATTTATTTCACAAGATATCCTATCCAATAAAGCTAAAATTTGAATTTAATTTGAAATCTGTTGTGCAGCAAAAAATATAACATATTTAATAATAAAAACTGAATAATTTAACATCTACTTCAAGAATAATTAAGAATTAAGTAAAAAAATGTGCCACACCATACGAAAACAAAATTCGCTAGTAGCCTAACACAAATTCCATTTATATTTTATTTTAAAGTCATTTAATTTTGCAACCTCCATAACTTATTATTTTACAAGATTTAGTGTAAAATGTACGTAATGTGGCAGCATTATACCGGAAGTACGTAATTTTTCTTAATGTGTCAGCATTGATACACGAAGTTAGCTCTATGGATTCTTCCTTTAGTAATGCCACGGCTATATACTGTAAAAAACCGGTAAAATGTGAAGTGACAGCGGCATTGATAATTTGACAAGCAAAAGTTCAAATAACAATTTTGACAGCAGCGAGCGGCGGCGGCGGCAGCTAGCAGAGTGAGTTAATGTTTATTTTAGATTTTATTTGATATCCAATCAAACCCAATTACTTATATGCCGCTAAGTAAGTCTGTTTTATTATAAGACTTGCTTAAACACACGTTTTGTATTGGCTATTTTCACCGCAAATGTATTTTAAGCGTACCAAATCTATTTTTACCGCCTCGAAACCGAAATTTGTTCGTGAATATTTCTTCCTACTCTACACTAAGAGTATGGACAGAGATGCCAAGAATTTTGCTCATCTCACTAATATGTATTGGATATATTCAGTCTAGTTTTTTTGTATCGTAGCCGCCGAACTAACCAAAGCCTCTTGCTTGACTGGAAGTACCACACTCTATGGGGCGGGGTTAGCAGCAGACTATTATTGGGACGAATTATTGTAAGAGGTGATTTAGTTTTATATAAAATGATTTCTTTTAAAGAATACCTATCTAAAATTATATTATTTCGTATGCCTATTCTAAGTTTACTTTTTGTTTAAATTCCATTTGGTGTATACTTTAGAGAATGGTAATTCTAGGTTTATTAATATTGCTTTCTAAATTCAATAAAGAATAGAATCCCATTTACTAATGTATAATGAAATCAAAAATAGTAGCTTAGGTACTTATAATAACTAATGCATTGGCCCTAATTAATGGAACTAGTCATTTAATGATGTGATAGTGAACATTGTAACTTGTTTATGCAGAGATTAAATAAACATTCTAATCTCATTCTTATTTCAATAAGTGTAAAATTTATTTTGTTAACTATTTTCCTCATAGAAAAGGTCTGGTAAATATTTGTGATTGTGCTTGCCAAGCAATTTAATATGAATAGAACCTAATTTCTTACATACATGCTTAATTCATTATTTGATATAGACAACTGAAGATCAGTTGGAGTTGGTCACATTACTAAATCACACACATTACAAATAAGAAGTGCTAAACCTTTTTAAAATAGTATCCCGCATGTCTGTAAGTTTAATAATAATATATTTTTTTATTTTACTGAGTTAGAAAATCTAAATTACCTATTTATTCTGTTTATGTAGGTATATAATAATAACTTAAATCAGATTATCTTACTTAATAACTAAAATCTGGTAACAATAATAATAATAAAGAAACTAAAACCAGACACCTTTTTTTCTTCGATGTTCCTGTTTCCATTCATCATTAATCTGTATTAACCACCTTTTATCCTTTTGTAACTAAATCCATAATGTATGAAATTAATTCATTTAAAAGACTATAATAGTTGTTGTAAAAACTACGAAGTAGTGTCCATAAAATTTTGTACTAAATTACCCATTCCAACTCCAATAATTGAAGGCAATCAAGCTCTATTTAATTTTTAAAGTTCTGGTAATTGGTTTTAATTACAAGGACACATTAAACCGTACATCCATCTATTAGATTCATAGTGTAATTAATTACAGCCATGATTAATTGGATTGTTATTTGCCATAAAATGTGTGAGTGTAGTTATAATTTGTTTTAATTTATTTTTATCTTATTTATTTCAGGAAAACAATATGTCGCACAAACAGACCCCATACTCACCAAATTTTCCGGCCAGTCAAGGGTATGCTCCACCTCCTGACAGTAAGGCACAGGAGAGTTATCCGATGAACCCGCAGACTGGCTATCCCCACCCTCAAACAGGACCGATGAACCCCCCGGGACCTCCATTACCACCTGGAGCCCAACCACTGCCAGGAATGCAGCCTGGGTTCCAACATGGTTTCCAGCCTGGTTATCAGCCTGGATTTCAACCTGGCTTTTCTCCAGGCTATCAGCCACAACCAGGATATCCCCAGCCAGTTATTCAACAACCTGGACCCCAAGGCCCACCAGGTATGTAGTTTTACTCTCTGGAAAAATAATTATGTGACTTTACATGTATAAATCTGCACTTTAAATAAACTAAATGAGATTTGTAATTTTTGTAAGTCTTCGTTCACTAGTTCTTTTTATGGTTAATGAGTTAGATAACACTCAGTGGTAATAAAATTTAAAATAATAGTTTGAGATGCGACTCTAAACGCTAAAAATTTAATAACTAGGTAATAAAATGGTTTTAACATTATTTAAACCTCACGAATAAATGAATTTTATAGTTCTGTACGCTCGTCTTATTCATATTATTATCTTGAAGCATAACAAGTTAATAAACAACTTATTACACAGATAACAGTGTTTACTGTGAGCTTAGTTACTTGTGATAGGTAATCTATGCAGTGTTCTAGGTAGTATGCAATCAGCTAATTGAGTCAATTTATTGTGCTGTGTGGTAGGGCTGGTTTATTAAGAATAAAGTGTATCAGAATTTCTACATTTCACGCCTATCATGTCCACATTCTTTGAAGAAAACAGCTCTTCGAATAATTTTGAAATATTATTCGAAGAAATTCTTTACTTAGAACGAAAGAAGTCATGTCTTACTAAGTGGGCAAAGTTTAAAAGATATTTTACAAAGAAATGTAATGTTATGTCAGATAATAAAGTCTATGTGGAAACTTTAAGTGTTATTAGCGTAAAGCGGACATTGAATAGATTTTGTAAAAACATTTTTCATTCTCGATATGATGGTTACCAGAAGTTTCTTACTGATGAGGAAAAAAGGTTATTTTTGTCTGTAAATCATGAAAGTCTGGTGGTGGGACTCACAAATTAATATTATCTGTACTTTACTGTGTTTATATTTATTTATATAATCATATTCATAACTTTATTATAATCTAAAAGTTAGTAATTAATTTTATATTTTGTTTAAATATTTCTTCTTCAAATGGAAATGTAAGTATATTTTTCATATGATATTTTTTACATACAGATGTTGCATAATAATATAAACAAAATAATTATGTATTATATTATATTAAGAAGAATTTAGGTTAATTTATGGCCCTTCCCTCACTCTTGTCAAAATGTGTATTATTAATTTAAATCAACTAAGTATATCTTTTATTACTTCAGGTGGCTGGATGACTATTCCACAAGGAGTCAACAACTGTCCCCCAGGTTTGGAATACCTGTCATTGATTAACCAGCTGTTAGTGCACCAGAAAGTGGAACTTTTGGAAGCCTTTGTGGGTTTTGAAACTAACAATAAATATACAATCAAGAACAGCGTCGGCCAGAAGGTCTATTATGCTGTAGAAGATAACGACTGCTGCACTAGAAACTGTTGTGGCCCGATGCGTCCATTCGATATGAAGATTATGGATAACTTCCAAAATGAGGTAAGATCTAATTATATTTTTATACTTAATGTTCCCGCAGCGGGCGCGGCTTTTAGCTCTGAAATAAAATACTAGATTCTATTGTGTATATTCAGACGCGCGTCGACCTCGATCGCGTACCTACTTATTATCGTACAGTCAAGGTCAAACGAAAATCAAACAACTGTACAGAGCGGGACTAATTCACTAAAGACTCCGTCCGCTACTAATATACGAGCAGATAGCGACCACATTTTTTTCAATTAACCCTTAACCACTGACGTGTCATTTTGTTACACTAACACTGACGTACGTACGGCATACGTACGTAACTTTGAAGACCTCCTGATGTATCAATAGAGTGTAACTTTGGTGAAATTTGAATTTAAATTATTTACACATGTTTATATTAAACAGAGATAGTAAAAAAAACATAGTCACATTAATAGAATAATATGATATTAGTGAAATCCTCCAGATGTAATAAAAGTTAAACAGGCAATTTTTAAAAATCAACACAAAAATATTCGATAACACTAGGAACTTCTATTTTGGCCATATTAAAGATTAATAACAGTTTTAATCAGGAAAAAATCACAATAGCAATAATTCACAAATTAAGTCACTTTTTAATACAGTTCATTTAGGAAGGCTATTTTCTATAGTCTTTCTTTGTTTGATGACCTGGTCACCAGTTTGCCGTGCTTCAAACTAGCTAGGAAATATGAAAATATGGTATACAATCTTCAGAAGAAGTCAAATCCAAAGCCACGAACTAAAGCTCCTTCATCATCATGATGATTGTACTCGAAAACCGCAACTAATAAAAAAATGTTCATCCACTGGATTTTTTTGCTAATTTCTTCGTCATTTGTAATAATTTTTGGCGTAAATAAGGTTTTTTATATATAGACGGCCAAGTAAATAAATAAGACTGCTAACAATTAATTTTGTCTATGGACCAACATACAAAAGCAATGTTGAAAAAGTTACACTAACACTGACGTTACGTACCACATACGTCGGGTGGTCTAGCTCTCCTACTTAGGGACGTGATACCCATTTATTTTCTCCCGTCGCACACGCATCTCTGGCCACTAGGAAACTACCATAAAGGACACGCAAAAATTCCCGCACAAAATGAAGTTTTGAACGAAAAACCGTTTGACCGACGTATCACGTACGTACGTCAGTGGTTAAGGGTTAACAAAACTCAAAAGGAGATTGCGTTCAATTCAATCTTTGCGACATTCACTTCTGAGTTAGTATCTTAATTCAATAAACAGGTAGCTTGTGTTTCACTAAATAAAACTAAAAATGCGTTTAATATGACATACAAACACAGATTAGTATAATCTAAGCTGTTGCCACGTTAGTGTTACGTTATTCTCGATCAACACATTGAATCGTCATCAAATCATTATTATGTGTCTGACACAATGGCAAACACAATGGTTCCAAAATATCAAAATCCGGTTCTTATGACCCGCAGAACCGGTTCTCTGACCTACCTAATCAAGATTAAAAAAATTGTCGGTCGTTATTTTCAAGTTACAATTCAAGCCGTGAGTAGGTACATAATGTAACTCATTAATAAACGTCGCGTTAAGACCCGTGTCTTACTATTTTAGTTGAAATGTAACGCGAAAGTTTCAATTTATTATCTAAGTTTAAAAAAAGTTACTAAACGTTTTTTAAATCATTATTACTTCATCAGTTCGAAACGTAAATATTAATTAAAAACCTAGCTACAATACAAACTAATTTATTCAACATACAAACTGGTTAAGTAGCCTATAAGCGTAAAGTCGTGGGTTCATGTACCTACCATTTAAGAAAATATGTATTTTAATCAGTTTTTGAGAAACCTATTAAACAATCGGCTTCCGTATTATTCAATTTACTCGTCCATCATGTCCCATATAAGACTAAAGAAAATATGCTATTTAAAATCAGATTTACGAAACTGCTTCTCATGACAGGTAATTCATCTCCACCGGCCCCTGGCGTGCGATTCCTGTTTGTGCCCATGCTGGCTGCAAAGCATGGAAGTGTCCGCGCCGCCTGGCACCGTCATCGGCTCGATAGAACAGCAGTGGTCACTGTGCAAACCGTGCTACGACATCAAGAACGCTGCCGGTGACGTCGTACTCAAAATCAAAGGGCCGTTCTGCACTTACTCTATTTGCGGAGATATCGAATTCAATGTAAGTTCACGAACACAAAATTGTGTAACTACTATAATAAAACTCATTACGCCCTTAGGTATTTTTATCTACAATAAGAAAGCTTGGCCTGCATCTCACCTGATCACCTGATCGAAAGTGATGATCAGGCCGAAGGTGAAAGCGAGCTTCGCCCGGAATCCGTAACCACGGAGGAACTTTAGGAGGTTTAAATTCCAATAAAAATGTTGCATGTGTTTTTGCACGTGAATATACATGGAGAAGAAGTTAATGTCGTTAAGTAAATAAGTTGGAGAGGAGAGTACATAAATACTATCAAGGATGTTGAACCGAAGAGATAGTAGAATTCTCGACCTAATTGACACGATGAACATTATGCTTATCCAAATATTAAGGTGCTCAATAAAATCTAATTTCAGGTATACTCAAAAGACGGCGAAACGAAAGTTGGTAAAATTACCAAACAGTGGTCAGGATTGGCGCGGGAGGCATTTACCGATTCCGATTATTTCGGAATTAATTTTCCGATGGATTTGGACGTGAAGATAAAAGCAGTTTTGTTGGGAGCGTGCTTTCTAATTGTAAGTAACTTGAAGCTTTCTTTTTTCAAGTTAACATAGAGTAAAATCTATATTTTTATAAAATTAAAAGTCTTCGATATTCTTACAAAATAAATAATAAATTAAAACAAAAAGGATCTCGCACTTTGGTTGGGCCTTTGAAATAAATTTATTTTTATTTGTTTCAAACTCTGTGAATGGAGAATTTAGAGTCAATTTTGTTTCTTTTTGTAAAGAGAGAAGAAAAAGTAGCATAATGATTTGTTGCTAACGTTTAGATGTTCGACTTGGCACTGTTGCTCGATCCTCTTTAATTATTACTCATTTATTATTTAGTTATGAATCACGTTGATCAAAAATATTCCTTGGTTGGTTTATCATTTATCAAATGTTATCTAATGCTTTTATACATTTCAGGATTTCATGTTCTTCGAAAAAGGAAATAAAGAATGATGGACCGGGCATGTTGTAAGTCCTTCAAAAATACGTGCTATTTTACTGTTTTCTTATGGATTTATATTTTTTAATGATTTACTATTGTTGTGTTTATCAGATTAATTTAAGTGGTTGTCATAAGCACAAGTTTTGTTAAAAGTTTGACTCAATAATGTTTATTATATTAAGTACATGATTGAAGTTGTCCACGTATATACCACATTTGTGATATTTCACTATATTGTTGATTTATTATGAAGAAAAACTTATATTATTATTTACTGGCGTAAATGAATGAAAAACAGAGTTTAATACTTTATTTTAAACTATATTTACAGGTCGTTTTTGCATTTATTATAAGTTTTTGTTTTCATTTATTTTAGTTTTCTAAATATTTTGATATAATGATATTTTACTCTAGTGTATTTTCTCATTCACGACCTAAGTGATCTTATGAAGCCAATCTCATATTATATAATATTTTTGAAATTTAAGTAAAGTAAGTATATCTAATATTCTTATAAATACATACATTTAAAAATGTTTCACGAATTTGCTATTTCTCTTAAAACCTACAATACAATAATATTAACATGGTAATAAGGGAGTTGTGAACATTAACACTATTGTTAAAAAAAAAATGCATTTTGCTTATTAATTGCCTACAGTAGCATTTATAAATTATAGTACATAATAATATGTTGTACTTATATGATAAATACACCAAGTGTGCATTTTTACCAGCGTATTTTATTAAATATTTATACTCGTAATATAAGGCTTGATTGTTATAAAACTTTATATAGTCTTATTAATGGTCTATTATTATATATTAATGGTCTAGTACCCTAGTCTACGAAGTGTGATATATATTTTCACGATTTAATTGTTTGATCGAGTTACGTTTCACTGGGCTGATTTTTCAATCATCAATTAACTTTTAACTGGCGAATAAATTTGTCATTTTGACATATTTCCCATACTGATCAATATGCCAAACTTATTCTTCAGATAAAAGTTATCCAACGATTGAAAAATCAGCTCTAATAAGAATAAAACTTAAATGGCGTCAAAACATTGTAAAGTACTTATGTTACAATACCACTTTTGACTGCAAAAATCAGTCAAAACTGGTTTTGCTTTTGACCAAGGGCGTTAGTCAAAACCACTTTTAGCTGCAAAAAATCAGTTTAAATTCAGACAGTGTTATGATTAGTGAAAATTACATGGAAATCATTAAAAAAAGTGTTATAAAACCATTTTAAAGTACCTACATATATTCTTTACATAATTTGTGCATACAACGTGATTACCTACCTTAGGTGTCAGAGTAATGTTGCTTTTTAATTAATTCATTCATTCATTAATTAATTCTTATCATATTTTTTAAGAAATCTAGCTATTTGTCAAGCAAAATATAAGTAAAATCATTACTTTGTATGAAGTTTGGACTGATTGGTAAAATTTTAAATCAGGTGAAAGCACTATTGACTGATTTTTTGCAGTCAAAAGTGGTTTTGACTAACTCTCTTGGTCAATATCACTTTTGACTGATTTTTATTACTAATTTCACACTCAAAATTATTCATGTCTGTCTACACAAAACTGCCATGTTTGACTGTTTGAGTCGGGAAGTAACGGTGGAATGAGTACACTCTGCTAAGAGGAGTTGTGGGGCGGGTTGTGCCAATATTAAAGAACAGAGCAGCGAAGATTTTATACCTTTAAGGTTTCTAGTTAATACTAGCGGCCACCCGCGACTTCGTACGCGTGGATCCCGTTTTACCCCCTTTATCTATCTTACGCGGCTTAGATTGACGCAACTTGGTTTCGCTGAATAAAGATTGCCGTCAATGTCTGAGGAAAACTGTTTTCTAAAAAAAATGTTTGACTGTTTTTATGATTTTCGAATTAGTAGTATGTGACAATTCAGTTTAAGATATAAAGCCTGACCAGGAACATAAAAACCCTGGCACAGAGGCGCTTCAATTGCATTTGATAGTGCAACACTGAGTACAGTCGTACATGTGTTAAATTAATAGGCTAAATTTATGTATCAGGATTCAGGATTACGGGCTAATTTGATATTTTCATAAATTAACGAAAAATATTATTAAAGATAACCTGGTTTAAATAAATTAAATGAAACCATCAATCGAGCTAGTAGGATTTATTTTATTATTCATCAATAATCAAATTCAGAACATGAATATTCAACTGCAATGTCTGCTCATGAACGCTTCAAACTCGGTACTTCTTTCCCAATTCCATAAAATTCAAAACTTAGAAAGTGACAAAAAACTTTAAAATAGGTAGTTGAAACAGACTACAGCTAATTTTCATAGTGGACTGTACCATACGATAAACATGTCAGTAAATTTGACAACCTTTGTCGGAAACATTATTCAATGAAAATATTGTCCGAACCCTTAGTATTTCTCTTCGACAAATACATTAACACATCGTGAACCACTTTTCTTTCACGACTATAAAAATATTTTAGCAATTTAATTCACAAAATCAATTGCACACATTTAAAATAAAGTTTGTTTACACTTTGACAACAATAGACTGACATGCAAGGTGACATGTCAATGAAGTTTTCAGTTACTGTTGCCATTAAAAGAAATTAGTACCATTAGTTTTCCGCAACATGGCGAGGGTTTTTATGTTCCTGGTCAGGCTATAGACAATAATAATTGTCAAAATTTCAATATTTTTTGCTTTTTCGACAGTGAGTTTAGTCGATAAAAAGACGTATAGTTCCAAAATACTGAACTGTCCTGTGCATGACATTGACAGTGGGGCGCCACCGTCAATACCGGATAGCTAGTTCCGATTTTTGCCATGTTGGAAACCATATAGTTGAACGATGGTAGCGCCCCCCTGTCATTGAGTTTGGCGGGACAGTTCAGCGTGGGTCATCTTTATTTTGTAATGCATCTGTTTTTAATGTTTTATATGATATCAATGTGTAAACAAAGAAGTTTCGTCTCTACTCTCATTTTAAAATATATGAAACGCTCGACTTGGCGGGGGCCCTGCCGTGCCCCCAGATCACAATAGATTATTCGCTAATGGTGGATGTCATACGAATAATACGAATCAGGCTACGATCTCCTATTAATGTTAACGTTATAATATTTGACGACTTAAGATTCAAATGAGAGCGAAATCACTTCTGTCCGATTCACTATTATATTATTCAATTCTCATTTTTTCTGTACACATTACTTATAACCCGATCGAGCTAACTGCGGGAATACTACTTCCACACACCCGAGGGTCGATGTGGTAACGTCATGGTGCGCATTTAACTCGACCGGGTTGTGGATGATTAAGAAATATTATGTAAACAATGTGATTTTACTAGTTTTAGGTAAAAAATACCTACAGGTAATGTAGGTTTACCTATTATACTACACAACTAAGTGCTCTTAGGCTTGCATTTTGTAATCGATTTGCTAAGATTTTTCAAAATACATTATTAATTTTACTTAAAATTGTTTTATTTCAATAAATCACACTTAATTTATACTAAAACCAACACTCATTAGAAACAATGTGAACCAAAAACTTATCTTCGAAAAAATGGAGCCGTTTTTTTAAAATGGTTTTCACTTCTAGTATTCACACTTATAGTACAGACAAGCTTATGTATGGCCGCTTGTAAACATCCGTTTTTTTGACCGGACAACGGCCCGATTTTTTCACCGGATTGGGCGGTGGCGTAAGGTTTATAATAAACGTGTGCACATGCATCGGACATAGGTCCGGCGAGAAAATTTACAGCAAACAAAGGATATCCCTGTTTTTGACGGTCCGTCGTCCGGTGAAAAAACTGATGTCTACAAATGGCCTAATATTGTGGCATTATCTAGATGTTATAGTACTGTGATGTGCTAATTGGCTAATAAGCAGCAAAAAATTGAATTGTATAGTCTGCTAATGTGCTGTTGCTGAACATACATTCATAGGGTATATTTATATTGTATTACCAAATCGATGTAATTTGCACACTTAATGCAAAATAGAATAGGCGATACTACAGAAAGTAGCATAATAATAAAACCAGGTATTCAATGTAACCATTTATTTTAATTCAAGTCAAGTAGGTACAATTAGGAACAATTGCCTTTTGGTTTGTTAAAAGCAGACTTCTGAGTGCAAACTGAGACATCAGCTTGGCGTAGCGACAAATCGGCAAAGCTGTCCTCTTGACGAGATACCAAAACCCTTTTAATTAAATTAGTTTCCCGATGATCATGCTTCATTATAAGCGGTTTTGGTAATGATGACGTAATTTTTTTCATCCAGTGGCTCTGAGGTAATTTCTCTTCATCTGGCACATGTATCTGTAAAAAACAGCATTTCCATTAAATGTAATTCAGTTTGGCATTTTATTGTACCTACAACTTTTAAAACTATTCAATTTTTACAAACTTCTTTTTTTGTAAAATAAACAAACAATTACCTACATCTAGTTAAAAAACATATTATTTACCACTTGAGTTTTCTTAGCACTTCTATAAGCAACAGATGGTAATTGAAGATTTTCTTTATTGCTTAATTTGGCTTGTGTGGAGTTGGTCTTCACAAGTTTGGGTATAGATGAAGAACCAGGCAAGGGTTTTGAGGGACGGACGTCTTTTACCAATGGAGCAACTGGACATTGTTTTATGTATGAAGCCACCGGGCTAGCAATATGTTGATAAGCATGATTTTTACCCGGAGTTTTCTTTAGTAAATTATCTGATGGTTTTTTATGTGAAATGGGGTTTCTAGGTGTTCTAAACATAGGTGTCTTTTGTTTCACTCCTGTGTAGGGTGTGTTTTTATCAGTCTTTTCACAAATATTACTGCATGTTTTTGAAGGAGTGCAATGAACAACCACTTCAGGGTTGCAATTTTTCTCAGGTTTTATAAGTTCTACTGATGGTGTACTCCCAATGCTATTTACATTTTGTGGCACTTTGATTTGATGAGAATTTTCTGATGGTGAGATTTCTGAAGGTTTTGCAGTCTCAGAAACTTTTTTCAATATGTTAGGTGAACCCGTTTTTAGTATATAATCAATTATATCCAATGTATTATTTAAGGCTTCCTCTTTTTTATTATTCTTCGTAGGAGATGACACACACATATCAGCTACCATCTTTTCAACTTTAAGGAAGCTGTCGTCTGTTTGTTTTATGTCCCACCTAGAGTACACTTCAGATCCATCTGGAGATAAATTGATATTTGATGTTGCTTTCTTCTCGATGGGAGTAGGACTAATATCTCTTCGAATGAGATTTGGGGCTGAATGTGTTTCTATTATTTTTAAACCGTCATCGTAACCGTCTCTTGATGCTGCACCTTTATTCCTAAGGAAATGAAATCTTGATTTGAGTATAATAGACAACCGAAGAACGAAATGGAAAACATTGAACAGGTATACTAAAACTGACCTAGGAAGATGATTATTCCAAATAATATGTTTCTTAATTTCTTTGAGAGTAATTTTTCCGAAGAAAACTTCTTCATCACTAAACTGATCCTCGGCATGTGAGGTGGTCATAATTCACAAAATTAAGTTATCAATCAAACAAAGCAAAAAACCGTTAATATCACGGTTAAAACAGCCGCTCACCGATAACAAAAAAATACTGATGACAGTTGACAGACAGACTGACAGATGTATGCTGTATTGCTATAAGAAAAAATAACTACCCATAGACAAGGTGTGAGCGATCAGTGAGATCACGTCATACGAATAAGAGAGATATTGCAAATAATCGACACGATCGCGATACGATAGGATATTGCAACGATTTGGCTAGAAATCTCTATTCCAAGGCTGTAAAAAGAAAGGAAATGTCAAACTCTAATCGTACGTGACAGCGAGCGAGCGACATGACATTTTAATTTATTGTTGTCACAGATATGGATAGATGCAGCATGTGTCAAAAATTGTATGAAGCCGAGCGTGCCACTTTTTAAACGTCATTAGTGTCATTTTAGCGAATTTTAGTGATTGCCGCAACGTAAAAGTAATCGTATCATCGTACTGCATTCGCAAAGTCATCGAATGATATCGTGTGACTCGATTCAAAAATTAATTAATTCCGATAAAACTGATATTTTGTTAAATTTATAGCTAGTCTGACTGTGGATTAAAATAATTTTGTAGCGGTAGACGTTATTCTACAATTCTACATTATTAATTTGCAAATAACATTTTTGTTGTGCCTAATGTTTATGAAAGTAATGATCGTTATTCCATTATGTTAAATAGTACTACTAGTAATTCATACTTAATTCCATACTTTTAAATATCCTAGTAAGTAAATGACCTAGTTTCATAAAATAAAGACTATTTTACTCAAGCTTTTTAATTTTAACAAATGTAAAAATGCGTAGTTTTGCCAATACGTTTTCTTTCATTCCAGAACAGGACCAATGGCGTCCAGAGTGCGGTGGCCAAACTGCGCACGAGTCATGTCTTCCTTCCAGCGGTCGATCATGATCTCGCGCGCTTCCAGCCTGACGGCGCCGCGCCGCTCCGGGGACGGGCGCTTTCCACGCGCCTTCTGGTCTGCCATCCAGTGATAGTTGACAGACAAGACGCCAGGTGTGGTAGGTCCTTGCGACTTTCTGCGTTCGGGCCTGCGCCTCCTTCCGCCCAGATTGGGGCGCCATACAGCGCCATGCTCCTCAAAACGCCGGCATAAAGTCGACGACACCTCGTTTGTGGCTCTCCCAAATTCGGGAGGAGCCAGAACTCAGTGCGCCGGCTGTCTTGAGGAGGCGTGGCGCTAGCCCGTTGAAGTGCGAGCTAAAATGCCACCTCCCGTCAATCGTGAGGCCCAGTTATTTCATCTGGCCTTTGACGTGAATCCTAACGTCCTCAACTACAATGTGGGCGTTGGGAGGGGTGCGCTGGCGAGGCCCCGGAAAGAAGAGGGCCTCAGTCTTCTACAGCGCGACTTTCAGGCCGAGGCGTCGTATACTGCAAGCGACCAATGTGCCGCCGCGGCCCTAAATGTCTTCCCCCAGGCAGTGACCAGAGTGTCATCCGCATAGCATATGACATTCATGCCCGCGAAAAGGACGCCCCGGAGGAGTCCGTTGAAGCCTAGGTTCCACAAGAGTGGACGAGCACCGAACCCTGCGGAAACCCGCTGGCTACGCCGCGCCGTTTGAGCTGGCCGTCTCTGTTAACATACAGGACTTCGCGGTCCCATAAGTCATCGGCCAGCAGCGCTCGAAGGTACTGAGGCACTCTGTTTTGTTTAAGTGCCTAGAGTATGGTGGAATGAGGGATGGTATTGAAAGCGTTGACTATATCCAATGATACACCCAACACACCCTCACCCCTCTCCCTAGCCTCCACAGTGAGGCTTTTTAGCCTCTGAAGGGCGTCGACGGTCGACCTGTCATGTAAACCAAAGCAGTATCGAAATATGACGATTGAATGTGTAAACCAAAATAAGGCGAAGTTTTGAGGTGGTTTAAATTTTGTGGGACGTGTAAAAGTGCTTTTTAAGAGCCTATATAAATGACTTTTTAGTTTTTTTCATATAACTCTTAACTTTCACAATTCGTATTCGTGCTAGGGAAGAAATGCCAAACTTTTGCGTATTTTCCTTTAAATAGAGATCTGAAATGTTGAATCTCCCATAGGATAATAAATTAATTCATATCATTTTTTTAAACGAGCCATAGACTATGAACCATAGAGCAATGATTCTCATCGACAAAAATATCGATAGTGTCTCAGCGCCATCAGCTGTTACACAAATGTCATTACCTCGTCCCCCTCAGGAAATGGCGAAATTTTTTTGTATGGAAATAAACGCGCGCTGCTACTCCTGTTATTTCTGCTCTCTGTTTCCAACATGGAAAAATCTGAACCAGCGATCCGGTATTGACGGTGGCGCCCCACTGTCAATGTCATCGACAGGACAGTCCAGTATTTTGGAACTTTAACTTACTTTTGTTGATTAAAAGCATGCAGGAGGTCATCAAACGAATGTTAAGGCAATGTTGAAATGACAAATTGCTTGCTGTGTCCCATACTGCCGAGAAATACCTAAATGTACAAAAAAAATATGCAATTCTAAGAGTATCATAAACCTTTGGTACCTATCGAACATGTATAGCATTTCCTTTATAAGTACTTAGTGGAAGAAACTGTTCATAAATAAAAGCAAAATATAAAGTAAAAAATATTTTATTTCATACATTACTTTTACTTAGCTAGGTCATGTAAAATAAAATTCATCGTACACCGTTTCAAGGTGTAAAGCTGTTATTTCCACCAGTTGCCCCGCACCAGTGTCACAGGTGTCGCCCCCATTGGGGGCAACTGGGGACTTATTATTACAAAAGATGAGCCAGCCTCACTTGTAAACACAGATGAGCTTGTAAAAACGGTTCTTCCATTCCGTTTTCATAATTTGTTAATTTAATAATTATTGATTAATTAATATACATTTATATCCTTGGGGGATACAATGGGATTTAAAAATGTCGCGTAGAACTTCCGAACAATAATAATTATTATCGTCATTTAATCTTATTCAGTAACTCTGTTGCTTCTTTATTTGCATAGTGGTCGTCATTAGATTTTGCAGGATAACTTGCTGCTAATTTGAGATAGTATTTGGCCTGGTCTTCTTTTTGCAATTTTAAATAGCAGTTACCCAGCCTAAGTAAATTAAGGCTGTAAAAACGTGGCTGTGCTGCTTCTGCCCTTAAGAAATACTCAAGAGCGTCTTCATAAGTTGATTGGGGTGGTGAAGCAAAAAGAGCCTCGGCTATTTTTCTCTGATGCCAAGGAAGACTACTAACTTGATAACACCACTCCCCAAGCATATGCAGTGTTGTTGCATCGTTTGGATTCAGTGTCACTGCAAGCTACAAATTAAAATAAGGATTTAAACGATTACGTATTTATTTTGATTTGTCGAGGCAAATAATTTATACTTACGTCCATATGCTTCTTTATATTTTCTAGTTGTTTGATTCTTTCTTTGATTCCATCATATGAGCATTTTGCATCTAATAATAATGCATACCATTTTTGAACAGCAAAATTATCTTGATGTCTTGAGAGCTCATCACATATGATATTGTATGCTTGGAAAACTAAGTCCTTCTTGTATTTTTTGTCGTATTTAGGTTCCTTAGACATGTTATACAAAACACGACATATGCGCCAGTTTATTTCTACATTTTGTTCCTGGCGGAAATTAAACATTAGGTAGGTACATTAAATGAGTTAGATTAATGTAACATGCATGTGTTTAACTATTTTACCTTGGTACTTGACAGAAGATTGTAGCATTCCTCATAGTGTCCATTTTCAAACAGATTATCAGCATGTTCCAGGACCGATGTAACTGTTTCAGCATTAGTTTTTAGCGATTCTTTGTTCAATTTTTTTGTCGGCCACATAAAAGCTAACCCTGCTAGCCCCGACAGCATAAACATTTCCGGGTTAATTTTGCGCTTAAAAAGGGTTTCAATAATTAGTTTTCTACTAGTTTAAAGTCTTAGAAAGTACAATATGTATTGCAATAGATGGATGGGCCAATAATGTCTTGGCAAATGGCAAACGCATACTTAATTTACTTAGGTAAATTTAGATTATGGCCATCTTCATCTTAGCATTATGAGTAGAATTCACGTAAAATAATAAACGGGCGCTTTAGTGACTCGCATTGCAGTTTATGAATAATTAACATTGGGTGCAAACAAAATCAACATTTACACTGTTATTACAGCTGAATTTCCTTGTCTAACGTCACTACTCCATAAAGACCAAGCATATTTGGCGCTAAAATTACAGGGTTGTTCCCAGTTATCCCACCATNAAATCGCAATTTCGCTCCATAGTGCGCCCCCACTTTTACAAATTCCCAGTTGCCCTCAATGGGTGCGAACCATAATAGGACTAACTTACTAAAAATCTCATCATATTTTATAGTTTCTAGTTTCCTGTTTGTTCTTTAATTATTATTAAACTTATTAGGTGTGTCTTCTTTTGAATTATTTTTCAGTGTACTGTAAATAACTTACCTGAGAGTATGTTTTGGAATGTTTGATGATATTATTAACAATTCTAAAGCACACCCCAAGATGTATCATTTTTCTCATATGAAACTTTACGACCAGTGGAGTCATGTTTAATATTAATACTTTATTGTAAACCTTTAGGTGTGAATATTCAAATTTAGTCGCATAATAATTTTATTAATAATGCATATTTTTATGCATCAGTGGCCCAGTTCTACTAATAACATTTACGTCAAAACAAAACCAAAACTGCCAAGCGTCAAAATGTCAATGTCTGAATAAGACTTTCTCACTCACTCACGTTTCTCATCACATTTTGCGAGGAAGGGACGAAGCCCAAATACAACACGATTGCGATACGATACACGTAGATCCAAAGATAATGTAAAGGTAAAACCACATCTATAAATCTTTTTGTCATATTAATAAAGGCAACTGGCAACATTCTTCAAAAATCAATTTTGACCCCGGCAGGGCGGGCGAGTCTGTTGACAGTTGGTGAAGTGTATGAATTTGTGTTTCGAGACATGTTTTTAGTTTGAATAATAATAAATCAGCATTACCACTATGCAGAGATCAGGTAATAATTGTGAAATATTTGTTATGACTGTTTTATAGAAAACATTATCTCTATTGCCCGTGTTCGCGCCAACATTAAATGTTAGGTCCTGTTCAATGCTTGGTGTGTCGTGTTTTAAATTTTAACTCATTCGTAATTATTAGGTTTGTAATTGAAATTATTAAATAAACATAAATCAGTTCATCATCGAGATATATCGCCGTAAAAGTATTCGATACAATACCCCAAGGTTGTGTACTTTTTCACACATTTTTATTGCTAAGCATTCCAGTAGTTTTTTGTCACTAATGATGTAACATATAAATTTAGGCCTTGAAACCCCTTGGTATCTTATCATAATGCTACTGTTTGTGATTTTGTTTTGTTGCAAATGCAAGGGTAAAGGCCAAATTGGCTTAGCCTCTACATAACCAGCTTATCAACAGTTTTAAATTTTAATGAAATAAAAAGATGTTAAGCTTTTAATTCTTTATTTATGAAATATCATAACAAACATTGATGCTATTTATTATTCCTTACATATAAACATAGATCTTACAATCAATAAGTATTAAATGAATTTAAGTTTGGTTTAGGATGTTCTTTTAAAAATTTTAACTAAGCAAAATATTATAATATATGTTACGGTAAATGTGATAAATTGAAAATTGTTAATAATAATCGGTTGTTGTGAATAATTTTGACAGTCGAGGTAAAAGTTTAAAATTAATCACATTTATCAGCGATTATTTAATAATGTAACCTTAATATAACAAATATCAAAAAGAGAACACCGGCTCCTGTACAGCCACACAAATGTTTAAAACATAAACGTGATTTTTTTTGTGTATTATTATATTGTTAAAATATTTTTTATTAATAATTCGTAATTACTGCCATTATTTTCTTGAGTTTGAGTGATAAGTTTAAAAATATATTTACCTGAGTTGGACATTCTACCTATAGTTTATTTGTGGCATAATACTTAGCTTCTGGAGAGTGATAATAATATTTAATTTTAAATGGTCATTTGTTCGAGAGCTCTCTAAAATTGATTATTTTTTTCACTAGCTCTTTTTTTGTTACTAAGAAAGAAATGAGATAACATTAACAGGTTTAGTTAATTACAAATTTCCACTTCATTGCTATTACAAGAACATGTTAATCATATAAACCCTGGTCTTCCTAATATAAATAAATCCATAACCTGGTGCAAGAATATTACTTCAATCTGCAGCTTACCCAACCAATCTCCGTCTTATAAGAGATTTTAGTGTGTGAGCTCATTAGAATGGTCTAATGCATCGGTTCCCGAATGGTGGTCCGTGGAACCCTGGGGTTCCGTGGAAAGGCCGCAAGGGTTCCGTAAAAAATATTATCCCACGTTTCGTGACCCACGTTGTTCGCTCGCACCGACTTGTTTACGCACAAGGGAGGGGCAGGGCGTGCGGGCGGAGTAGTACGGGGGTTCCGCTAGGAAAAGTATAATCAATTAGGGTTCCTTGGCAAAAAAAAATTGGGAAACCCTGGTCTAATGAATAAATTACAGACAGTTAATGTCATGGATATTATCATTGGGATGGATGCAGGCTGCTACCAACCAGTCAATATGGAAATCATTGGGGGAGACCTATGTTCAGTCAGTAGTGGACATCCTATGTCTGAAATGATGATGGATAATATCAAATTAAAGGATTATTAATAAGTGTGATAATAAACAATATTTTAAAAATATAAAACTAATCAAGGGGTTCAACAATAAAGAGAGAGAAGAAAAAAAAACTGGTCCGCTGATGCAACACATTATATTCTTTATTTTTGGTATTATTATCTTGATATTTTTCACAAACAATACTAATGTGTAACAGTTATTATTTGCAGTTTTTAATAAAAAAATATCTGGACTCCAGAAAATTGTTACTTACATTATTTTTAAGATTAGCTTCTGACCACAGTTTCGCTCCCATGGATTTCTATAAATAGTAGTGTACAATTTTCAAGGAGTAGCGAACAACCATCCTTTCTCAAACCTTTCCTAGAGTCCTGTCACCCGGTCAGTTGGTACCTTTTATATTCTTATTAATCTACAAAACTCTTTATTTACTATACATAACATTATAGTTACTCCGTATGAGGCTCATTGTCTCGTGCTCACGGAGCGTGTGACCCCATCCCGGTACGGAACCTGACCGCCATGACGTCGCGACTCTCTATGTAATCGACACCGTCTTGCCGTAGCTCTGTGAGCGTATCGGTTGTTGAAAAGTCTAGCTAACATCAGAGATTTTACTATTCGCACGCACACTATTCACATAAATGACGAAGAAGAACACAATGTACTTCAACAAGTCTAGTTTCTAAAGACCATCCATTACCGGGGAACCGGAAACAGGTTAGCGTACTATCTCTACAATATCGAAATTCCAACCTGTGTTTCGCTAACTCTACTAAGGACTGGAATTCACTGCTGTCTCTCCCGATCACCACAATCCGGGCATCTTCAAGGCTAGAGTGAATAGGCGTGAATGGTGCCTACTTACCATCCTAGACTGCATCTCACTTCTCACTTAACATCAGGTGTGAATGCAGAAAAATACCGGCATTTTGCTGCATAAAAAAAGTTCTGAAATGACGGTTAAGTATGAACCCTCGAAAGAGTTGATTCAGGTCGGCGAATGTTTTAAATTTTACCAATAAAAGGCAGATTAAGTTAATTAAGTCATTCGTTAACACTACTTGGGGCGTGATACTCTGTGAAAGACCGTAATTCACGCGTGCGAAGCCGCAGCAGAAGCTATGTAGTTGTCAATAAATAAATGAGATTGCTGCGACAGCGTTTAATTGATCATTTTACCCGGTTTTATCACATTTTATGACTACCGATAACTGCAGCGGACCAAAGTCCTCATTAAACTAATTGATCATCATTCTAGATTGAATTGATTGAACTGCGGTGTATTGTGTTCATGAATCTGACCTTCTTTTATTGCATTGCAATAACAAAATGATAAACCTACGCGCTTTTTAAAATATCATAATAACAAAATAACAATGAGTAAATTACGACTTTTTGCGCGGGCAGATGTGGCAACTGCCGATAATGCCAGTGGTCGCAAGTTTGAATCCTGTAAGAGAAAAACTTCTTAGTTAGCTATTATGCATATTTGGGACTCGTATAAGTGCCCTGAAAAGGTCCTATGTACTGAATAAAATATTTGAATTTGAATTATCATTACCAAATTGTCCCAATACAGACTTGTAAGAAATTGAGCTTTTTTTGTTTTGGCCTTGAGAAATTACCTTCAACTCAAGTTTTTGAAGTTTATCTCTTAGGATTTTGCTTATTAGATGCATAAACTTATTCAACTTTGTGATTATGTCTAACGACATCAAAATTAGCTTTCACTCCAAGTCACGTGATCAGAAAGTGAGTAACATCATCACTTGTATCATCGCGGTTGTCTTCTTGATGATACATAATGTACACTTGTACAGTACTGAAATAAGTGCATGCAAGATGTTTGACCTCAAAGGGCGCGTGGCCAGTGACCACCTCGACGCAACGGAATCTGTCGACTTGCGAATTCTCTGTATGTATTGAAATAGCTTGTGGTGCAATTGCGCTGTGTTCGCCCGCAAATGCAGCTCAGTTCCCGCGTACGCTCACACCGGCTGCTCTTCGTCACCGCAACGCACACTTATCTCGCAGACGTAAACATCATTCTAGTCGTGCGTCTGAGCTGTACCTTTCTATTCAAAATTCGGATATCCAACTGTCAATATTTGTCGGTAACCGGTCGATGTTCTTTCGTCGTTTGTTTGCTAACAAACACATCGAAATTTTCTATAAAAACTTGCCGTGTGAGGTGGAATGAAGTCAACTGTAACAGATTTACTTAAACAATTATGAAATCGCCACCTATTGGAAAATAGCAACGGAAACTAAGTAAGGAAAAGGTTCTACGATGGAAACGGTGGAAACTCCTTGCCACTCATTCTGTAAGATTTCTAATTTGTTTTTATTTTCTTATTTTATTTGGCTTGATGAAATTTGAAATAAGATTTCCATGTTTACAAATTCTACTAAGACCTTCGTGACATCCTATTCATTCTTCAAAATAACCCTACTTGTGAAAGTTATTTATGTTATTGATGTTTGATTGGTCACGTCATCATTTGTTTAATTTCTTTCATCAATGTGTACGGCGTGTTCGACATTGAAAACAATCGGGATTTAAAAACAATGCCAGCAGCATACAGGTCTAGTGATTCACTGAATCGTTCCATAATTTACAGCAGTATGTCTTACTATACCATACGTACGTGCGTGCCATTTAGTAAATTCAATTTATTATTTTATTGTTTGATAAAGTATCAATCGGTTTTCATCAATAACGTTAATGGAAGTAGAATACATGAGTAGAGACAGTCTTGAGGACGTAGGTACATGTTGTCTCCCTTGTCTAGGTACGTTGTGATTTAAGTTAATAAATTAACTACAAGTGCTGCGCCCTACTTTCGAACTCACTAAAACTATTAGTGCTAAACTGACAACATAACTAAGTCGGAATAATTTGCTTACACTTTGTAGTGTGCTGTTGTGGAAGTAGAGTTATTGTATATTTTATTAAATGTGCATTTTTGAAAAATATGTTTATTGTTTCATGTCCTGATTCATTGGTGAACTTCAAAATGTAGCGGTGAGTACAAGTTTTTATTCTATCTAAAACCATCAGTGATAAATGCCGCAGTTTTTTAAAATCAAATAAAAGGTGTGATTGTGAGATCTCGTTCACGTTATTGTCCACAAGTCTCTCATTAGGGATAGGCTCTTGTTATGCGTTGTTATAATTTCCAATGAGCGATATCGGTGTGAGTTATTAGGTCGCCAGGACCGTTTGTCCACTGAGCACGTATTTGTTGCGTGCGTTGTTTGAATTACGAGTAGGAATTCGCGACCGCTATTCGGCCCTGGGCTGGGTGGCGGGCACCCAGCAAGCACCGTGACACCGATATCGGCGATCCCTGAGGCCGGGCCCGACCAGCGCGACACTTGCACATCGCCGCCGATTGCAGTGACGAACGCGTTCGTTATCCATTGCTTCTCGCAACTTGCTATCGTCGTTTCAGTAAGCGAATTTGCAATCGTTGTGCGGTCGTTGCAAAGTGAATATAGCATTGTTTAAATTTATTATTCGATCTTTAGGAGCATTCCACAGAAGTTTGTCGCGCGCGTTCCCTCAGTTGCACTATATTTGTGTGCGTATTCCTTTCCATTCCAATGAACCGATGTGACTATTTTTGCTTCACTGGCCAGTAACTAAATGGTAAAGCACGTGGAATGCATCGTTGATTACGTATTTAATTAAAAGCAAATATATTGATTTGCAAGGGTTTTGTAAATCTTTGAAATCCAATAAGTCACACCAGTGTTTGTTCATTAGATACCATAAAGCTTTATCAACTGTAGTATTTAGCGAAACAGGCGCGGTTGATTCAGCCGGGCGAGCTCTACACTCCTCCGGATGTGATTTGTCGACGGAAAAATGTGCTATCGCGTTTGCTAGTGTATTGCTGTAACCGTAGCAGTATGTTTCCTTCTTGACTGCGGCTGTAATTTCATAAAACAATTAATAAATAAAAATAACTGTTAAAATCTGTGAAAGTGAACTGTGTGCTGCAACGTCATTTCAGTGATAAGCAATGACTTCTGTGTCAGATTCTCCGTTAAATAGATCGAGGAATAGGCCGGTTTTGGCTCGCTATAAACCTAATAATGGGAGCAAGGAACAGGTAAGAAACATTGTAGAGATAGTATCATTGTCTATCACTAATCGCCGTTTTTGAAGACGTATCTGTAGATATAAACTTCTAAAATTGTTAATTAAACTTCATGTATTTCCATAACTGTAGGCGGTATAATCATCATAACAACTAAATTATTTTAGACACGTACCTATACGAAATATTTTCCTTACATTTACACATATTAGGAAAATATTGTCGGGATATAAGGTATACATATACCTGCGTTAATGATAGTAAAGTGTAAAATGATCTCGGATTTGACAGCTTCAATATTTTTCATGAGCGCGGTGAAAACACCCACTTAACCGGCCTTATTTATTGACGATCACGTTAAAAAATAACATGCGAATTAATATATTATTTCAAATGGAAGTCCAAAAATTTTAAAATTGTCTTTGTCTGGTTGATTTGTAATAATTATACCTAATTAACGTCCAATTGCTCACATAAATAGTTTTACACGAGTACATCTCTAGTAGTTTTCCTCATCGAACCATACAGGCAAACTAATGTAGTGGTTTAATGACTAATACGTACGTACCTAATGGCATACTATGAAGCCTGGCATTGACATGTTCTTTACTGTAATGGAGAACTATACTTGTATAATTCTTTGGCACTCGAGTTTTGTGGGCGAGCGTTCGAATCATTCATCAACCTTGCGTAGGATTTCCTTTGAAACTTCATAATTCTGCGGCGCCTATAAGAATAAGAATAAGAATATAAGAATAAGAATATTTTATTTCAGTAAAAAGTATACAGTACACTGCCTTATATCATTAGGAACATTATCAGTTGTAGCTAAACATTATATTGTAAATGAGTACAAACATTATCTAGTAATTATTGAGGAGTAGGTACAAACATGTTGCAATATGGGGTACAGTGTGAAGCCGCCGATTTTCCCTAGGTAGGTATTAGTTTGTTACAATAGGCTATGTCCATTATTATTTCTATTTTATTTTAATTTTAAGAACTACTTAATCTATATCTATAAAAGCGAACGGTCACTGGTTGAAAATTTTCATTTGTTTTAATTTACAGGTAGCAATTTTCTAAATTTTTCTTATAACAGGTGATTAATGTTGTTTCAGTCTGCCCAAGAAAATTATAAAATCGGTATCTCCAAAAATCGAAGCAAAGTTCACTAAGAGATCGCAAAAATGTTTGCAAAAAAATTAGTTTTCTTTCAATTTCCCATACAAAACAACAATATCATACCACAACACTCTAATTAATTATTATGGTTAACCCCTAGCTTGTAAAAATATACAACAAATGCAACTAATAAAATAAACATCTATTGGCGGTATACCGAAAAAAAAGTTCCCCACCTTCCGTGCTAGTCGTAACTGTGTTACGGCAAGGTAGGATTCTCGCCTCCCGAATACCAGCTTTAACTAATTAACATAAAGACTGCTTTGCAATGATGCGATTAATACGACGACACACTAAACATGACGATACTAAGTGACGAGTAAAGCGTAAACACGTAGTATATGCAAAATATTCAGACAAGTTTTGAAGTTATTACAATGTGGAGTTAAGTTTGTTTTTGTTGTTAGTAATTTATTATTATTTAGATGTTTGTTTAAGCGACAAGTAGTAATATTCTTGATATTCTAACAAAACCTTTAGCCACTTAAAAAAAACATAAGATGCTTGACCATTTATTAATGAATTTAGTAATAAAGAGTATTTTATAATAATTGTAGAAATTTTTCGATAGGTAGTTTTACTGATGATATACTTATATTTTATTATGTTTATAAATAATATAGTTTTTTTCCTTATTTAATTATCTATTGCATATTATGTATGTAGTAAATCAGTATATAAATATATATTTTTATGTATAAACATATGACTATATTGTATATTATGTATATTATTATTTATTTATTTTTTATTTAAAAACTTATATGCACATAGAATATTATATGTATATATTATTTTTATTTAAGAATAACAAATAAATCCTCAGTCCTTGTGTAGTCCAAACCTTTTAAAAACCCATCCAGCGTCCTTCCACACAGATATTTAGTCATGTCCTTAGTAGAAATAGTTTTATTAATGCGATTATATAAGAAAGGGGCAAGGAAAAAAGGAAAACTTTTTGCAAATACGGTTTTACATCTTGGAATTTCATACACTTCATGCTTTCTTCTGGCTGGCATATTATCACGTTGAGGATAAGAATGTTGTCGAAGTAATATTGTTTTTATAAATAACTGTCTAATATTTAGAACATCAAATTCTTTGTACAGTTCAACAGTAGGATATCTAAATTTTTTGAAATTTATTATTTTTATGATACACCTTAAGGCCCTTTCCACTTTTATAAGGTAAGTTTTCTTAGCGCCACCCCAGGCAGAAATACCATACGTAGCCACTGATTGACACAGCGCTAAATATACTGTTTTATTAGTTTTGGGATCTTTTAAGTTTCTAATTTTTTTGAAAATCGGTATTAACTTACGTATTCGAGTTTTCAGATTGGTGATATGTTGGCTCCAGTTAAGGTTTTTATCTATCTCTACCCCAAGATATCTGATACTAACGGTTGAAGACAAAACAAAGCAGTTACATATTTCTGGATCGTTGCAATGAGTGTTATGTGCTCTTATACTAAAATTACAGTTAGGTTGTCCATTTTGTCTTATACTGAAAGTCAGATATTTGGTTTTTGAAAGATTTAATGTTAACAAATTAGAGTCGAGCCAGTTAGTTATTGTTTTCATGCCTTCTTCAGCTGCCATTCTAACCCTCGACCATGTATCATCATGAAAAAGTACAACTGTGTCATCTGCAAAGGTGATCACTTTAGAATTAGGAAGTTGGGTGTTGCATAAGTTATTTACGTATATCAAAAATAGAGTAGGCCCAAGCACTGATCCTTGGGGAACTCCGAATTGTACTGTTTGCTTAGAACTAAGTGTTTCTCCTAGTTTTACAGTTTGCGACCTGTTATTGAGATAGTCCTTGAAGAGGTCTAATGGAACACCTCGTATACCAATCGATTCCAGTTTGCAAATGCCTAAGTAAATACTCGTAAAAACTCAAGTCTTAAAAATTAAGATATGATTTTTTGAACTTTTGCGCCGCCTGCATTCAGATGCTTCCCGCGACCTTCAACAGATCGTCGATCCGTCTTATGACAGGCTTCTGAATCTAAAATGTTTGTGAATACTTGCGTAAAAACATAATCACGAAGACGCGCCCCACCCATTGGTCGAGGGAAGGTGCGGGGAGTTTAATCCGAGCAATCCGAGCGGCATTATTGTAGTGTGCGTGTGCACTCACGGATCATTTAGCGTGTAGTGTGTACCGATAGCACTCAAACATTAGCGGAAGAATGGTGGGGCGCGTCTTCGTGGATAAAACGATCTATATTCACCAATGATCTCCACACGTCCCCTGCCGTTGTGGTCCTGGTCCCTGATCTGGTTGGCCATAGATATGGCCTTGAGCTTCTCCACATTCTTCGCCTTCTTCCCCACGTATACCAGGATGGTCTGGTCTTGGTCCAGGATGAAGCAGTCGCCTTCGTTCATCGAGGAGATGAGGGGATCCACCTTGAAGAGAACAGATATATTTTTTATTCAGAACAACCTGAAATCACACCTGATTAAGCTAGGCGCAGACCATCAACTTTTAGTTGGCCGATAGTTGGACCCGATTTTAATTTGTATGAAGAATCGGCCGATGCCAAATCGGTGTAATGTGCGCACTTCTATACCATATGTTCGGTATAGGACAGATTCTGGGATTGGGCAGATTCGTGGATTCGTGTTCGAGAAAGCCAGCAGGTCCAGTCCCTGACTGTTCGCAAAAAAGCTATGCCCGTTTTCATCAATCCCATTATTTTATGACCCCAATTATATTTAAGACCTAATGTAAGTACCTACACTGTGAAATGCAATAACGAATTGAGTATGGTAGGTAATAGGTACATAACAGGGATTTTGTTTTTATAGGGGTCACTTAAAAATTAGGGATTGATGGTGAAAAAGGGCAATAGTGAAAAAAAGCGCTTGGTGTGAGCAGAAGAATTATCAACAATCTAGGGATGTACTCATCATCATCATCATCATCTCAGCCATAGGACGTCCATTGCTGAACATATAGGCCTCCCCCAATGCTTTCCATGTTGCCCGGTTGGTAGCGGGCCTGCGTCCAGCGCCTTCGTGCTACCTTTGTTTATACTAAAGCCTCGTCCATGAGCACGTAGAATCCCATCCAATGACCCCAAGCTACCCATCCCTATTGCTCGCGCGTAATTATGTTGCTGTCGCGCTCGCACACTCACTGCGGGCGCCCGTGTCGCACAGTCGCGATAGCAACATAATTACGCGCGAACGATAGGGATGGGTAGCTTGGGTTTGTAGGCACTTAGGTTGAACGTACCGTAACTAGGTCAACGAAACGTCGTCAAACGGCCTTGCACGATATTTACTTATAACAATAAATCAGTGTGTATTTGGTATTGACCGTGTTTAATTGTCTCTATAATTATTTAACCTCATCATCCTCACACTCAACCCGACACATCCATACATGCTCCACATTGGTGACCCCGACTGAAGTCCTACTCATTAATCGGTGACTGCACTGCACGATTCTATTGGTCTCCACAAGCGGAATCGCCATAGAATTTTCAAGAGGCACATAGTCACTGAAACAATGAGTCTGGGAAACAACTGCGACGGCACGGTCATGTTCGGCTGTGGAATTCCTCCCGGAACCAGTGTCGGTACTACTCCTTCAAGCAGTGAGTTAGCAACCATCACAGTATCATCAAAAATACCAGAATTTTGGACTGAGATGCCGAGAGTTTGGTTCGCGCAATTCGAGACAGTGATGGCTCCACAAAAGCAAGGGGATGATGCGAAATATAGCCTGGTCGTATCTAAACTCGACAAGGACGCTATACGCCAAATTTCGGACATTCTGATCTCACCCCCAACCCAAACAACAGGTTCATTGGACGGGATTCTACGTCCTTATGGACCAGGCTTTACTACTCATTTAACTAATGTAAGTATATTGTCAATGATACTGAATAAACATTTTTTCTTTCTTTCTTTCTTACCTTTATTTGGGGGTAATAAGAAGGTTTAATTACCTGTCGTACTCTCACGTTTCTCTTGCCTTTGACCTGGAACAGCCTCTTCTCTGCACCAGGGTTGGTGACGACGTGGTTGAAGCCCGAAGCTACTCCTCCGTCCACGTATCTGATGGCTGAAAGGCATCATCATCGTCAGGTGATTTAGTCTCCACTAGCACTACCTCTCTAAGGAAAGGAGGCCAATGGAGGATTTGGCCTGACCTCCCCACGCTGGCCAGACGGGTTGGATAGGGATAAATCTAATCTAAATATACACCACTAAATTTTTATCACCGAAAAAATTTAAACAGGTTATGTAGAAACGTGTGGAATATTGAAAGCAAAAGAAAAAGAAATGGTTTTCATGAAGTTAATTTTTTTATTAAATTTTCGTTAATCCGTATTTCACGCGTCACAGCTAGGTCACTCCGCTGCTCGCTAGAGTAGTCGTACGCGCTCGCATATTGCCTCGATCTGTCTGTCTCGCTCACGCCTTGACCACGCTTCCAGTGTTATTATTACATACTTAGCTAACTTAGACCATTTTGAATTCTAATAAGTGTTACATTATCGTACGTAAATAGTGCTCGCGACGCGTGTGTCAATAAATTACCAATTTTAAGAGGATATTTTGAGTCGCTTTATTTTACTCTTTTTTTTGCACAAATGGGATCAGTATCAACAACTAATTACCCAGAATTTTTTTTTTCGGTGATTAAAATTTAGTGGTGTACAGTGTGTCCGGGCATGTAGTGATCAAACTTTAAGGGCGTAATCTATGGACAATTTTATCGGTGAAAATACTTTAATTAACTACATTCGTTTTGTAGACTGGCTCAAATACTAATAATACAATGCAAATAAAACATACCTTAACGACCTGGTTTTTCTTGTGTTGGAAAATAACTGAAAATGAAGTGAAAAAAGTCATGTTTTTTTCTAATTAAATCCATTCTTACTCCCTTAAAATGTATGAAACTTGTATCGGTTTTCTACTTTTACTAGTAGATAATTTTATTGGCTATCGCATGATATGAAATATTTGCTTATTAATGTTAAGTTACCCACGCTATCACTTGTTTTTGAAGGAAGACGTGAAAACTTAAAATTAAAAATTTAAATCCTTGTAAATATGCGAGAAATAGGTTAAGCCCCAAATTTAAAATATTTTCGGCGATAAAATTGTCCATAGATGACGCCCTTAAAGTTTGATCACTACATGCCCGGACACACTGTATATGTGTAATACAGGCTTTTTCAGAACCTACTTCAGGCACCAGTCTTCACAATACGGGTATATGATATGCCAGGCCAAAGCATCGATTAGCACACTAGCAAATAATGTATGACAGAATGACAAACTATTGTATCTTTCCTATGTGCTGTCGTGTGTACCTAATATCTTGTCAAATATTGTCTCAATACCAAGGCCCATTGTGAAGAAAATCAATATATTTTTTTTATTATTATAACTCAAAGGTGACTGACTGATTGACTGACATAGTGATCTATCAACGCACAGCCTAAACCGGACGGATCGGGCTGAAATTTGGCATGCTGGTAGATGTTATGACGTAGGCATCAGCCAAGAAAGGATTTTACGAAACTCCACTCCTAAGGGGGTAAAACGGGATACACACGTACGAAGTCGCGGGCGGCCGCTAGTTCAATATACCTACACAAAAAAATATGAAATCTTTCCTCTTTAAAATATTAGTGTAGATAAAAGTGTAAAAAACTAACTGTTGAGTTCGACATCCGCATCATTGATCATTACAACAACAGGACAAAAGGCCAATTATGTAGGTACTTTATAAGGAAGGGTATAATTAGATCAATTAGCAAGCCGTTGTCAATTCAAGAGTAGAAACTAGTTTCTGAGATCATCTCAATGATGTTGAAACGATATTTCAATGTTTTTAGATGTTTGTTCGTTCGTTTCAATCAGGGATGTTATGGATATGAAGTTTCGGTTATGGATACGGTTACGGATATGAAAGCGTTTCGGATAATTTCGGTTACGGATATTAGAATTTTAAAAATGACAAATTCAAATAACAAGATCCAAGATTATTACGGCACCTATGATAAAGGTGAAACAGGCGGGGATATCAGATTGTGCCAGGGAATGCCAGACAAGTAACAAATATTAAAAAACATTAAGATTTAGACTCCGGTTCTGCCTTTATCCGAAACTATCCGAAACTTTTGAATCGGTTTCGGTTACGGATATTTTTTATTTCTGATATCCGATAGTTTCGGTTACAGTTACGGATATCCATAACATCCCTGGTTTCAATCGAAAGACTCAATGCTGGTCAAAAGGTCTCCCCCAAGGATATCCACAACGCCCGGAATTGCGCAGGCGCTGCTCGCGACTTACACTAGATCGTCAGTCCATCGAGTAAGAGCTCGGAGTTTCACTATGGGATCGATCGAATCAGAAATGAAAAGATCCGTTGGATTCCTACCAAAGTAACTGATAAGGCCCGAAGTATTGCCAAACATATTTCAGAACTTTTTTATGGGTAAATATTACAACGTACGCAGAACAGTAAATATTTCAACGTACGAAGAGAATAGTACGCAGAACTGACGGCCGATGGGGCAGCAAGGTTCTGGAGTGGAGGCCGCGCACCGGAAAACGCAGCGTGGGACGTCCACCCACAGGGTGGACCGACGACATCATAAAGGTAGCAGGAAGGCGCTGGACGCAGGCAGGCCGCTACCAACCGGGCAGCATGGAAAGCATTGGGGAAGGCCTATGTTCATTGTCCAGCAGTGGACGTCCTGTGGCTGACATGATGGATGTTTTATATTTTGTATTTTAGTATTAGAAATAAGCTCAATTGTATTTAAAGTGCATGTAATTTGGTGCCAAATAAACATTATTGGTCGTCGCGGTGTATGTAACTATGTAATGGAATCTAAGAATCTCAATTACACGCATTTCTAATTCTTGTATCACCATGAAACTTGGCAATTTAAGTAGATTAGGTAACAATACAATATTATGGTACCATCGAGCTGGTCTGATGATGGGGCTGGAAGGTGGCCATAGGAACTCCTAAACGAAACTTCGGAAACTCATCGAGTTTGGGTTAATTATAAGCGTGTTTTTAGTTTTTTAAACTATTTTTTTTTCTTTCTTTATATTCTACTAGCTTTCCGCCCGCGGCTTCGCCCGCGTGAATTTTTTTCTGTCACAGAAAAACTTTATCGCGCGTCCCTGTTTCAAAAACCGGGATAAAACTATCCTATGTCCTTTCCCGGGACTCAAACTATCTCTATTTTATTTATTTTTTATTTTATTTTATTTGTTTAACAATGTTTCAACAGCATTAAATTGTAGGTACATAAATGTGCAGGAAGATACAACTTGAACATAAGCCAATTAAAGAAACACATTCTATTACTAAAACATTTTTAAATAAGTTAACGTGGGTAGGCAGGTGAACACTAAAACAATTCAAAACTAAGTAAGCAAATTACATGTGAACTGGGTGTGAAATTCCGAGTCACTAATCAAATAATAATTATGTAACTATGCCAAATTTCATCAAAATCGGTTTAGTGTTTTAGGCGTGAAAGCAAGACAGACCGACAGACAGAGTTACTTTCGCATTTATAATATTAGTATAGACTTACTAACCTGGTTGGAAATATCCCAAAAACTGCGCGCTCTCATAGCCCATAGCTTCTCTGTGCTGGATGGCGGCGCCGTTGAACTTGTCATCCAAACCGACAGTCAAAATGGCCGCCGCCCCCGACTCGTCCTGGGTGGACTGACTGCCGATCCAGTAGTGGATATCGTGGGCGAGGTTGTTGCGTTTGTCTGCTGTCGTCTGAATAACGTATAGATAAATATAATAACGTATAGACAATTTTATGTAGCTTACTATTTTATTTATTTTATTTTTACCAATGGTCCGTGACCCTCACTCGGCATGGGGCACACTGAAAACCAGCGCCGTGGCCTTCGTCACCGTGGGCCACAGCATATGCTGAGTGGGGTCCCGTTGCAGTGGGCATCTTGTTGGTGAATGGGTGGCACTGCTCAGTTTGCTCTTGTTTTTATGTTTTTTTTTCTTCTTCCATTATTAAGTGCCACTGTCATGTCTATGTAATTGCCTGTATTTGTGTGATGTTCATTGTAATAAATGTATCTTTCTTTCTTTCTACAAACAAAGATTTATTGCAATGAATCACACAATGACAAAAAGGAGGCAGAGAAAAAGTTTCTAAATGAACTTTTTAAAGGAAGAAAAAGTGTGCAGCAGTGTCACCTCACTCAGCTTTGCTGTGACGTAGGCCGTTCACCGTAGAAAGCCGACCTTGCTCAAGATACTAATCACCATCAACCCCTTATTTTTAAGTGACCCCTGTGAAAATAAAATTCCTGTTGTGTTACCATAGGAGTCACTTAAAAATTAGGGATTAATGGTGAAAACGGGCATAAGACAAAGTTTTAGTTTATTGACAGTATCTTAGTACCAGTCAGTGGCACAAATGGGCATACCCAGCTTCAGCCGATTTGTATGAACTGCTAGTGAGCGGAGCGGTTCCTCCGGACCGCATTACTCTAAAACGCTCCCTAGAAGTTCATACAGATTGGCCGTGCGGAGCGGGTCCGCACCGGACGGTCTGCGTGAAACTAAAACCAGCCTAAGGGGGTCAGATTTTTAGGTCGGTTGATGCAAAAATGTTCGTACCTTCAAAACGATGTAGGAGTCCCCCTTGTAGAATTTCCCATAGTCATTCTGAGCAACTGGTACTGGATCGAAATTCTGAAATGAAAAGGAAAAGATAGTCTGAATAATCTTAAACTTTATTAATGGAACTTTATTCTGAAGTTCAGTAAAATCAATTGAGGGTTTCCATGTTGATATTCTTTAGCACTTTACTTTGAAAGAAAGAAAGAAAGAAAAACATTTATTTGGTTCCAACTTAAAATATAACACACAGAATCAGGATCAGACAGATCAGACAGATCTTTGGATGTTGTGCTGAATACTAACGGACTAAGAAATGCAATGTGGGCCTTCTGACTTGGTGAACTGATGATCTGGTGAAGGTCGCGGGAAGCGCCTGGAGCAAGCAGCGCAGGACCGGTCTTTGTAGAAATCCTTGAGGGAGGCCTTTGTCCAGCAGTGGACTTCCTTTGGCTGAACGGGACTATTCCCACCTCTCTTTCCCACCGCAGCAACTCCTATGTAGCCAGGATCTACAGCTTGACCGCCAATAACCCAACCAGTGAAGGTCAAGTCTGTCCCGGGGAAAGTTAAACTGTCATTGGACCCGCAACGAAATTAATCAGAAGAACATAGGAGGAGAGGAGTGTGCGGGCAGCGCAGGATCGATAGTTGTAGAAATCCTTGGGAGGCTGTCCAGCAGTGGACGCTTGACTGAAATGATGTGCTAGAAGTTGCGAGATTATGAGACAGTTTAATAAGGAAGCTAAGGCGAAATTGCTCAATTCCGAGCTGGCGTAGTGCTGGAAGACCAAGATCCAATTTCACAACATCTTGGTTTTCTTTATACATGGTGTCCCAGAATGGGTGAATCAAACAGCTAGGGGAGGTAGCTTTACTATCCCTAAAAATATGAAAAAAAAAATAAAGCGCAACCTTATGCGCTTCCTTAAACAAACAAAAAAAAATTTGAAAAAGGGGAAATAAATCAGCTTTGCCTAAGTATCTGGCTATAATTGCTGCGTTTGGAGTTTATTTGTACTTTTTTCTTACTAATATTAATTGCACATGATCGCTTCGTTTATCTGTAAACAAACTTTTGAAAATAATGACTAGATGTCGAGTTTAGAACACTTTATTTTAAAAAAAGTTCCGAACTCAAAATTTTTTTTTCATATTTTTTAGGAATATTACATAAGTAGAGCTACCTCCCCTAGCAATTTGATTCACCCATTCTGGGACACCCTGTATAGGTACGGACGACAGCACATCAACCTAAACATAGTGGCGTCTTATCTCTTTGTAATACTGGCTATTTTGCAACAAAAATGTATAGGTTGATGTGCTGTCTACTGTACTATTCAGGGCAAAAAACTCTGATACCGCGATTCAGGTTTATAGGCGCGGAGGCGTGTGCCTTAAGCATGAATCAGCGCCATCTATTGAGTGATTCCTGCCACCAGTTTGTAGTGGCGAGTCGATAGATGTCGCCACAGTATACGTACCTCTATCCTCCAGACTTCAACGCCTGCTCGCTGGCCAGCATTGGCAAAGGCTGGGTGGACCTTGGCCTTGCTTCTGGCATCCTAGAAACAAGAAAACTATTTTAAGACAGATATTAGTAGCTGACAGACACCCTGGAATTACTTTACCCTACTGCCCAAAAAAGAGAGTATTATTTTAGTATAATAATATAATAAACTAAGGGTAGTGCGCCACGTAGTACCATCTCTATGAAAACAAATGTCAGATTGATTGGTTTTAATGATTCCAGACCGACGGATTAGCAAGCTGAAGTGGCAATGGGCAGGGCACATAGTACGCAGAACTGACGGCCGATGGGGCAGCAAGGTTCTGGAGTGGAGGCCGCGTACCGGAAAACGCAGCGTGCGATGTCCACCCTCAAGGTAGACCGACGACATTATAAAGGTAGCAGGTAAGCGCTGGACGCAGGCCGCTACCAATCGATCAACATGGAAAGAATTGGAGGAGGCCTATTTTCAGCAGTAGACGTCCTATGGCTGAGATGATGATGATGATGATGACCACATTCGTCCCTAAGGCTGCATTTCCACCAGAAAAGAAGAAAGAACCAATAGAATCGCTTCATTTACCTCGCCTCAGTAAATGAAGCGATTCTATTGACTCGGCTCCGGTACTCGGTTCTTTACAAACACATCCTTCGCTACGCATCCTCGCACATCTCTTGTGGAAATGCAGCTAAAGTTTGGTCCCTGAGCACATAGAATTTGGTCCCATGACCCCAAGCTACCTATCCTTATCGCTCGCGTGTAATTATATTGCTGTCGCGACTGTGCGACCGGCGGCAGCAGTAAGTGTGCGAGCGCAACAGCAATATAATTACGCGCGAGCGATAAGGATAGGTAGCTTGGGGTCATTGGACAAAATTCTACGTGCTCAGGGACCGGACTATAGTTAGTTACTACTAAGCCATGTTTACCTTGTCCGTGAGCGAGGTGATGTGCGTAGACACAGGGGTTTGTGTAGCGGTGACACGAGCTTGCGCGTGCGCTGCTAGCGCCACCACGCACAATGCTATTAACAGCTTCATGCTGGGAACAAAACGTAAAATACTATAAATCTAGCATTAACTCAGTCAGTACCTGAGGTGTGGGAGCGGTTTACGTAACGTCAAACGTCTCTTTTTTGGGATGTACTGTCCTGTTGAAGGGCGCTCAGTGATTCTGCCAATGTCAACTCCTATAGTCTGGTCTGCGAGCACGTAGAATTTTGTCCAATGACCCCAAGCTACCTACCCATCCTTATCGCTCGCGCGTAATTATGTTGCTATCGCGCTCGCACACTCACTGCGGGCACCCGTCGCACAGTCGCGACAGCAATATAATTAAGCGCGAGCGATAAGGATGGGTAGCTTGGGGTCATTGGACAAAATTCTACGTGCTCCCGGACCAGACTATTGTGTATTTTGTAAAGATCCCTGTTTCCTGAAAACAATCATCTTCCCAACTCTCCGACCTTTAAAACAGTTTATAACCGACCTGCAAACATGTTATTTGTTGACTTGATACATGAATGGATACAATGAATCAGTTAGTCAAGAATAGGTATAGAATGAGTCAATAATGACATTGAAACTGCCTATGTAGCAAGCGAGTGTAGTATAGCAGACAGACTAAAAAGTTTTTATTTCAACTAATAGGTCTAGAAGTTTTATCCACAACGAGGAAGCTCTTGGCCTGCATTTCGAGGTATTCCACGCATTTTCAGGCGTACCTACCTAAACTATTTCAAGTATTAAAAGTACCAGGGTAACATAACATAGGTGGACTTCAAGGTATAGCTTAGATGCGCTTCATTTTTATTAGATTGGTATCATAATAGTTGATTCGTACTAACACCTTTCATCTTCTCTTCCAATCAGTAACCCAAAAATCCTGGAAGACCATTCTGGGGTGCATAAGCCCCCTGCTTTATATGGGAGGGGGGGATTGCCCCGGGTGCCAAGCCATGCTACGCCTTGAGCTTCACATGAGATCCTTATCAACAGAGGAACTGGCTATCTTTCCGGAACCCAACAATGCTGTTACTATTCTTCTGATTAATTTTGTTGCGGGTCCAGTGACATACTTTCCCCGGGGACCAACTTGACCTTCACTGGTTGGGTTATTGGCGGTCAAGCTGTAGATCCTGGCTACACAGGAGTTACAGCGGTGGGAACGAGAGGTGGGAGATGGTGGTGTAAGTACCTACCTTCTTCAGTATTAACCTACTTATATGATATAGGAAAATAATAAAGTTAGTATGTGTATGCACTCTTTCGCGAAGAAAAATAGAATGTACATCAAAAGAATTTTAAAATATGGCCTCACTCGTAACAATTTCAAAACACAGTGAATAAATTAACCTTGCACCACATCTCTTGCACTATTCATAACAAAAACTTAATATGACTCGAGCAACCGTGAGTAACAAGGTATGACCAATAGAAATTGATAACTTTTGTGACAAAAACTGCACCTAAAAGTAAAAAAAAATATTTTTTGAAGTCGGTTAATAAAGCCTCATAACATTGAGAACCTAGTCTATGTAACTAATAACTAGCTTTCAGCCCGCGGCTTCGCCCGCCTAGAATTTTGTCTGTCACAGAAAAACTTTATCACGCGCGTTCCTGTTTCAAAAACCGGGATAAAAAACTATCCTATGCCAAATTTCATCAAAATCGGTGCAGTGGTTTAGGCGTGAAAGAGAGACAGACAGACAGAGTTACTTTCGCATTTATAATATTAGTATAGAAGGATAGATTATAATGAGCAAACTTATCTTTGGCTGCGGGTACTGGAACAGTTTTAATCTCTTTTTGAGTCGATTTTTATCATTGCATACAAAATTGCCGGCTTCTACTGGCTCTGATATAAGGATAAAAGATTCCCCTGTGATTAGACCCAGGAAATCTTTGTAAGACCTAATTAAAATTCTAAACGAGTTTTTATGTACGGAAAAACATCGTTTAATCCTAACGACTAGCTTTGATTCAGTGTTTATCAAGTAAAATAAATTATGTAGAAGGAAACTACTCCCTACTACTAAACATTTGCTTAGTCATCCATGTCTATCATCATCATCATCAGGTCATTTAGTCTTCACTGCAGGAGCACGACCCTCTCTAATACCAGAGGCAAATGGAGGATTTGTCCTACACTCCCCACGCTGGCCAGACGGGTTGGGGAGGCCTGATGTTCGCATATTTAATTTTGTCCCTTAGGCTGAGTGGCACCACCAACTTTAACGGTGCTTTTTGTATGGAATTTGACAGATTTTTGACATTTGATGGTGCAACCAAGCCTTACGCCCGTATTCACAAACGATGCTTGCTTAAGTGAAGCAGCAAATCGAACGCACGGCGTTGAATAGAGCTCTCTGATTGGTTTGTGTGTCACCCTGTGCGTCCACGCGCACTGTGAGACCTCATAGTAATGTTTGTGATGGGCGTAGGTGGTCTTTTTTTTCTCTGACGAAACCACACGGCCAGCCAATCTATACTAATGTCTATCTGTCTTGCTTTCACGCCTAAACCACTAAACCGATTTTGATGATATTTGGCATAGAGATAGTTTGAGTCCCGGGAAAGGACATAGTCCAGTAGAATTAAAAAGATTTTATTGTTTTAATGGCTTGATTGGTTGCCCATTAAGACTCTCCTAAGTTTTCGACTTCGACGGAGTTGTGCTTAAGTGGTGGGGGCCCCCGAAAGGGGCATTTTTTCGGTTTTCCGGTTATACCGCGTAAAGGACTTACCCTATCAAAAAGTGGTCTTCATGACGGTTGAAGGGCACTTAATTCTGCATTGAATAAGACCAAAGTNCCTTGAAGAGGTCTAATGGAACACCTCGTATACCAATCGATTCCAGTTTGCAAATCAATAGGGGGATAGAGACAGTATCGAAGGCTTTAGCAAGATCCAAAAAGATTCCTAAACATTTCTTTCCTGAGTCTAGATTTTTGGCTACAGTATTTACAAGTTCTTCAATTGCATCCATGGTTGATTTATTTTTTCTAAAGCCATATTGGTTTTTAGAAATGATGTTATACTTTTCCAAATATTTAACTAGTCTAGCATTAATTATTTTTTCAATGATTTTAGCTATTGTTGATAAAAGAGATATGGGACGGAAATTAGAGATACTGTCTCTATCCCCTGACTTAAAGATAGGAACAACAAGTGAATCCTTTAAGATATTAGGGAATTTACCATGGGAGAGGCACAGATTAATGATGTAAGTTAAAGGTCCGACGATATAGTTAGCAAAATTTTTAATAAATTTAGATGATATTCCATCACATCCAGTGGAATTGCTGTTTTTGAGTGTCATCACTATTTTGAATACTTCTTCATCATCAGATTCCAGCAGGACAAAAGAGTTTGATAAGGAAGTTTCAGGCTTAAATTTATGAACAAGATCATTTTCAGTAGTGTGAAGTTTTTCTAGTATTTTATTCGATAAATTAGCACCTACATTGACAAAATAGTCATTCACGGCATTCGCCGATTCTTGAGGATTTGATTTTAATTTTAATAGATCCAACGATTCTTGTGATTTAGCTGAAGTACTCAAATTACATACCCGTTTTATAGTTGTCCATGTCCTTTTAATATCCTTTTTATTGGATTGTAGTTCTAACTTGTCATATTCATTTTTTAAATTATGTAGAATGCTATTACACTGATTCCTGTAGCGTTTATAAGTAATTGCCAGGTTTTCATCATTAGGGCAAATCTTGTGTTTTCTATGTAACCTATCCCTAAATCTCATACATCGCAATAAACCAGGCGTTACCCATGGTTGAAAAATTTGTTTTCTGTTAGGTGTTCGTATAATAGTTGTGCATGTGTCAATAATATTTGATAGGGTTTCCACAAAATATTCAGTTGCAATGTTCGGGTCTTTTATTGATAGGATAGCACTCCAATCAACCTGCTTCAGATGCTCGTTTGCTTTGGCATAATTTAGTTTTTTTATTGTTTTATTGCGTCTATATATCATACATTCCTTTGTCAGAGGTATGCACAAATATACACCACTATGATCGGTGATCATTGCTTCACAGACCACAGTAATTATTTTATTATTAACCTTCACAAAAGAATGATCGAGACATTTATTAAGACGAGTGGGAAGCATGTGGCTGGGCAAAAAACAATGTGAAGCAAGAAGATCTAGGTATTCTTCTGATTTTGGATCGGTATTATTAGGAGTGATGTCAATATTGATATCTCCAGTAAGGATGATATTGGGTATGTATTTGAGTTCATTTAATAGTGTGTCAAGGGTTTTAAGAAATCTATCTATCGAGACAAACGAGGGAGATCTGTAGATGCATACAAAGGCATGAGTTGTACCAATTTTTATAACCAGACAGTCAGCATCAGCAAGATTGGGTTCATATACTGAGACATTAGACAAATTGTCGCGAACATACAAGACCACACCACTACTCTGATTTATATGGTTAGAACTGTTAAAGTTATTATATTTTTCAATTTTTGGCAACTCACCAGAGTTTTGAAGCCAGCACTCGGTCAGGATTATTAGATCGTAGTCTATCGTCGTTCTGCCAAGAAAAACTCTGAAGTCTTCAAAATTTTTGTTGATGCTTCTGATATTTTGTACAATAACATTGAGGGAGTCATGACCATTAAATCTGTATTTCGGAAATTCTTCTGGATTATCGACCAAAACTGAATCACCAGTGGTGACATTATTGTCAACCTCGGTGAGTATCTGATCCAAATTATTATCCATTATAATATGTACAGTAGAGATTGCATAAGTACAAGAATTTTAGTCGATAATAGGTGTTTTAGAGTTTGAATTGAGGTCAAAATGATGGACTTATTTATGCGTTGAGTGGACTTTTGAGGAATCAAATAAAATATTGATATGATAAAGTGTATATGAACGAGACAAGTGAATATTAGTGTAGATTTATAAATATATAAATTCCTGAATGATATGATAAATGAAATTTTACATACAATAATTATATAGTAAAAGGTGCAAGCAAAAATAAAAATAGTGAAGAACAGAAGTAAATACCACAATTGTATAAAA